GATTTTGAAACATACCTGAGTTGCAATATAAAAGTGATTTGAGGGTAAGCTTTGAGTGATTTGAGGGGGAGATTTGATGATTTCTTGGGGAAAGGGAAGGGATTTTCGTTTTCTACCATTGTAGCTATGCACAAGGCACAAACTAAATCAATGTGGCAGTTGGGTTCATTTAGGATTTTTATAATTGAAACAATTACATGGATGATCCCTTTTCTTGGATATTTAGCCAATATTGTCCTTTATTTATTTGAGTTGGTTTTTTTTATCATTTAAATATAATTCTAAGCATATTAGGTCCCTATTAGTGGAGCACCTTTTACCAAACAATAGAATGGACCTAAAATAAAAAATGATTATAAAAAACACGATAATATCAACCAACTAGATCAATTTGATTAAAAATTAGGAACTAAATATTCTTGGGAATATATTTGAAGGTTAAGTAGATTAATGGGACAGTTTTGGATAAAGAACTCTACTTTTTGATCCAGAAATCAAATATTAGTCACCATAAAATGTATAATTAAAAAGTAGCCGATCCTTAATGTAAAATTTAAAAGTAATATTGCTACCACTTAAATTTTCTTATACGATTTTTTACATCACGTTTACACTTAGACGTAATAAGGTAAATACATAATATATAAATGTGTCTTTTAACTTGGCCTCAACTTGGATTTATGCCCTCATATCGCATTATATATAAAAATATTACAAACATTGTTATTTTTCATATGTTGTAATATTCAATTTCCATGTAGAAAATTGCTACATTCTCCTCTATGGTACAAATAATACTCAGAAGGATGTGAGAAAGGAAGCAAAAATCATTTTTCTTTTTCAACATGACATCTAACAAATCAGTCCCATATGAGTATTTCAAATTTTACAAAGTCTTGAAAAAAGATTCGCAAGTCTTTAGGTAGAAACTGCCAGAGAGATAAGGACAAAGCTTACTTTTTATTTAACTTTCTTGCTCGATTATATCACTGATACCTCATAAATAATGTGACATTTCATTTAATATCATTCATACCTGAAAAAGAATGTGACATTTCTTGTTCTATTATATCATTCATATATACCTGAGAAAGAATGTGATGTTTTTGGTTCTTTTGTATCTTCATATATACCTGAGAAAGAACGTGATATTTCTTATTCTATAATATCATTCATATATACATGAGGAAGAATGTGTAATTTTTTGTTCTATTTTATCATTCTTATTTACGTGAGAAAGAATATGATATTTCTGGTTCTATTTTATCATTTCAAAAAATTAAATTCCTCAATACAAGTTGATGCTCACATCGGAATGGAGAATTTGACCTTGATGCCTACCTTGTTCAGTTAATAAGATAGTTTACAATAGAGGGGAACATAAGGCCACAAAACCACTACACTAGTATCACAAAAAAAGGAAATATCAAAGAAATGCACTGCTGTATCCAATAGTTTCCGAAGGAAAGACTTCTTCCACCGAAGAAACTCACGGTCAAAATCTTCATTTAGCACCTTCATGGTGTCTCATAGAACCATACCAATTGTTTTACTTATTTTAACCTAAAAGAGGCAAGGTTTAGTTTATTCATCCTCATAGGTCATCTAGTAGTATTAGGCATGTCTTCTTCTCGGGAGTACTTATCATCTATGTCTCCTGTGATGGAATATCTAGGAAGGGAATCAGCAACTGCATTTGCCTCCCTGAAGCAATGAATGACCTCACATTGCAAGTTTCTAACCTTCCCTTCAATCTTGTATACAAACTTTTTTAATATCCGGGTAGATCGTAACAAACTTTTGATTATGTTGACTTCCATGAGACTGTCCATCTCCAAAGTAATGTGGGCATTAAAGTTGTCTTCACACCATTCCATTTGATGTAATGCTGCTTGTAGCTCACATATTTTGTTATTAGTGAACTTGATAGTTTTCGCAAACGCCATAATCAACTCTACATTTCTTTTTCTAACAATACCCTATGATTACAGTAAGACCTTGTTTGAACATAAAGCTTTTATCTGTATTAATTTCCAGTTCCCACTTGCAGTCTTTTTTCCAGTAAACGAATGTTCAACTGATCCTCGACTTGTAGTTTTTTGAGATTTGCTTCTACTTACTGTAGTAGTTGTTAACAATAAAATGTTGTTTGTCTTAAGATAATTTGAATTTTGAATTTTAGCTAGACTGTTTGAGTTGTGAGATATTTTAGGTTGTTTTAAATTACAAATTATGCGGTATTTTATATTTGATATTCAAATACCTCAATGCTTAATGAAATTATTGAAAGCTATTGAAGCCATTTAAATCCAAAGATACACATTTTCAAACCTTTTTCGCCTCGTCTCTTAGAAACTCCAACAGTGGTATCAATGACCTTTGTGGCTAAATCTGTAAAAATACTCGTTCTCTTCCTCTCAGTGTGGAAATTCAACTTTTCTTGATTATAACCAGCCCATCTTTTGATCTTTATGATAATCCTGAAGTCTACATTCTTATGAGTAATGAAGCAACTTTTACCCTTGTTGATCTCTTTCCCAAAAGCTTCTTGACACTTCTAGAATATCTTCATGATCAGTTTAATAGAATATTTCTCAATAGCGCAAAAACTACTATATCATCAGCATGATAAAGATAGTTAACTTGAGGCCATTGTTACTCATGAAAAATCCCTTGAAATTTTCGCTTTTATGAAGTTTATTAAGATCTTTAGATAGACCCTCCGCACCTAAAGTAAATAGGGGTGGAGACAAAGGATACCCTTTCTTGAGACCTCTAGATGAATAGAAAAATCTATGTCCAGCCTTATTCACTATTATAGAGTACCAATTGTTTGAAATGAGTCTATGGATAAGCTCAATAAAATATTCTTTGAAACCCAATTTTCTCATAACAGATATGTGGAAAGCCTAGGAAACCTTATCATTGGATTTTGACATATCTGATTTGAACACCAAGGTACCACGCTCATTTAAACCTTTGATGCCATGGACAATCTCTTGAGCAAGAAAAATATTTCAAGTGATCAACCTTCACTTGTTTAACTCAAATTAAGGCTTCTAACTACAATTCCATGCTCTCTAACACTCTTTGTACTCCAGCTATCAAAAAGAACCTTATTTCTGTTGCTAAGTTTTGCACTGACAATCTGACCTCAATCGAATTTTTTCCACACTCTTTTCTTGTGAAGGATTTCAAAACTCGGACACTGCTGGTACAAGGCCGGAATAAACATGAACTCTATGAGTGGCCACAGAGGGATCATGTGTCACCTTCCGCCAACTTCACCTCCACCAAAGTTTCCCGTCAACTGTGGAATTGTCGCTTGGGTAACCCTCATCTGAATATCCTAGACTTAGTGTTGAATAAATTTTCACTTCCCTTTTCCACCAAAGAAAAGTTTCATTTTTGTAATTCGTGCTCATCAAATAAAGCTCATCGTTTGCCATTTCAACGACTCACTTTAAATAGTAATGCACCACTTCAAACTTTGTTTAGTGATTTATGGGGTCCATCACCCATTTTATCCATTGATAAAAAGTTGTATTACTGCATTTTTGTTGATCATTACACCAAACACACTTGGTTGTATACAATCAAAAACAAAAGTGAAGTCGCTTCAATTTTTGCAAACTTTCATCCTTTAGAGGAAAAAAATTTCAAACTCAAATTTGTCTCACTTTATACTGATGGAAGGGGTGAATACACAAGTCTTAAACAGTACTTACAATGCCATAGCATTCAACATTTGATCTGCCCACCCTACACGCCCCAACGAGTTGCAATCGCTGAATGATGACATCGTCACATTGTCGAAACAGCTCGAACTCCTCTCAATGAAGCCTCACTACCATTTGAACTATAGTCCTTTTCCTGTCACCATGTTGTCTATCTCATAAATAGACTACCTACACCTAGCCTGAATAATGATTTTCCTTATAAAAAATTGTTTGGCGAACTGCCAAAATATTCTTCGCTGAAAATTTTTGGTTGTCTCTGTTATCCATGGCTTAAGCCATATACAAAAAAATAAATTACAGCCTAGATCTACACCGTGTGTCTACTTTAGGAGTTTCTATTGTTCATCATGCACACCTCTGCTTTTAATCCTGTGCAGTCAAAAAATTCGTCAGTCGTGATGTTCAATTTTGTGAAGATATTTTTCCTTTCACTCAAATGTTCTCACACTTGAAAAATAAGTTTTCCACATTACAATGGGAAATCATAGAGTCCCAAGTCAGTAAGGATACTCATCCGGAAATCCAATTAAATTTGGACTCCAATCTTGTTCCAACTCTTCCGCCTCCTGTTCCTATCACCCTAACAGTTCCCTCTCATTCAAACACTCCAGAGTCCATGATTGAAAGGAAACTACCAGCAGTCTCCACTTCATCAAGTATGATTCCTATCTCTTCCCAACCTCCTTCGCCATTTAATGAAGCAGCCCACAACACCTCTCAACCATTATACTATTCCCGTCGGCCACCAATCAACCAACAGCCACCGCAACAGCCAACAATTATGTCACCAGCCGCTGTCCCTCCACCATTCGGTGTGGTCACAAGGTCCAATAATAATATCTTCACACCAAAGAAAAAATTCAGTTTCTTGGCTCACCTTTCTCCCACTCCAATTACCTTTAAGCAAGCAGCTAAGCACATTGAATGGAAGAATGCAATGGATTTGGAATACGAAGCCTTAATGAAAAACCAAACTTGGGAACTAGTACCTAGGGACCCAATAAATAATGTTGTTGATTGTAAGTGGTTATTTCGCATTAAAAGGAAAGTTGATGGTTCTATTGACATGTACAAGGCGCGATTAGTCGCAAAAGGTTTCACACAATGTCCAGGACTGGACTTTCATGAACTTTCAGTTCGGTTGTCAAACCAACCACCATCAGAATTGTACTTTCTATTGCAATTCAAAATAACTAGAAAGTGCAGCAGCTTGACGTGAATAATGCATTTTTGCAAGGTAACTTACAGGAGCAAGTATTCATGGCGCAATCGAAAGGCAATGTCAACCCTAATTTTCCCAATCATATATGCCGTCTCCAAAAGGCCATTTATGGCCTAAAACAAGCTCCTCGTGCATGGTATGAAGATCTCAAATCTCACTTGACTAAAATTGGGTTTGTTAAGTCTAAATCAGATGCTTCTCTGTTTATTTTTCCATCTGAAGCTGTCACGATGTATATTCTAGTGTATGTTGATGATATCCTCATTACTGGGAATTACCCAAACTTGGTCACACATGTAATAAACTCTCTGGCTTACAAGTTCTCCCTAAAGAACCTTGGTGAACTCAACTATTTTTTGGGATCAAAGTCAAACATGTTCCGAATGGGATTGTCTTATCACAATCCAGATACATACTTGAGATTCTCTCAGATGTGGATATGGCCGACTGTAAAGGAGTTACGACACCCATGTGCTCAAGTTTACCACCCAAAGCAGCCGATGGTTCATCTCCTGCCGATGCAACCTTGTATCGACGCACCATTGGTAAATTGCAATACTTATCATTCACGTGTCCTGATATTGCCTTTGCAGTTAACAAACTATCACAGTTTATGCAATCCCCAAGTCTGGATCATTGGAAAGCAGTAAAAAGGGTTCTTCAATACCTCAAGGCATCATCAACGTCATGCCTGCAAATTTCTAGCCACTTTGATAGTAATCTGTATATGTACGCCGATGCTGATTAGGCAGGGGATCCCTGTGACAGAATATCCACATCTGGTTACATACTCTTCTTGGGACCAAATATGATCTGTTTGTCCTCTAAAAAGCAACAATCAGTTGCTCGGTCCTCTACTGAAGCAAAATACAAATCGGTAACCAATGCACTCTCTGAAGTTACTTGGGTACACAATCTGTTAACTGAATTACGATAACAACTCTCACAAATGCCAAGCATTTTTTAAGATAATATTGGTGTTTCATTTCTCAGCAAGAACCCAGTCTTCCACACTAAGATGAAGCACATTGCAGTAGAATTTCACTACCTCCGCAACAGTGTGAAGTCAGGTAGAGTGGTAGTCAAATATCTTCCTGTCGGGGATCAAATTGCAGACACTCTCACAAAGTTGATGCCCAAGCCTGCCTTCCTTCGATGTTTATCCAAGTTAGGCATTGTTGCAGCACACCTAACTTGAGGGGGTGTGTTGACATACTCACTAGTTTGTTAGTTTGTTATTAATTCTTATCAAGTTGTTAGAGTAGATTTAGATTAAGTTGTTAAAGTAGTTCCTTAGTTACATATTAAGTTGTTAGAACAGTTCCTTAGAGGTAGTTAAGTTAGTTGCATCTTACCTGTATTTAAGTTGATGTTACATTTGAATAAGATTCATTCAAGTTTGCTTTGATTCTCAATCTCTTTAAGCACTACATCTCCCCCTTTGGAGAAAGCCTCAACTGACTTTTTCAGCAGTGCTTCCCACCCATAACTCAATCAAGATCAGGTCAAGGCTTTGCTTTGCTTTCACTTATGACACAAAAGATGATTCGGAACCAATGTGAACAATAACACTACCTCTGGTGGAATCAACTAATCAAACACCCAATCGGGCTAATCCATGAACATTTCGCACCAACTCCTTCTTACCGTCCTCAATATGAGCAATAATACCTATTGATAACATACTAAGAGCATCCGCCATCACATTTGCTATGCCAGTGTGATAGAGAACACTCATGTCCTAATCCTTTAGTAACTCAAGCCACCTCTTTTGGTGAAGATATAGATCTTTCTGTTTACACACATATTGCAAACTTTTGTGTTTGGTAAAGACATCAACTTAAACACCATATAAGTAATGCCCCAAAATATTTAAAGCAAACACAAACGCCGCTAGGTATAAATCATGGGTAGGATAATTCTTTTCATGATTCTTAAGTTGCCTTGAAGCATAGCCAATGAATTTTCCAGTTTGCATAAGGACATATCCTAACCCAATTCTTGAAGCATCACAATAAACGACAAACCCATTGTTCCATTCGGTAAATTCAACACTAGAGCAAAAGTAAGTCTATCTTTCAATTTCTAAAAACTAATTTCACAAGCTTCCGACCATAAGAATTTGTCTTTCTTTTGTGTCAATGCTATCAATTCTGAGGCAATCGAAGAAAATCCATCCACAAACCTTTTATAGTAACCGACTAAACCAAAGAAGCTTCTAATATTCGAAGGGGACAGAGGTTTAGGCCAACTCTTAACTGCATCCGTCATCTTAGGATCTACTTCAATTCCCTTTCCAGAAACAATATGACCAAGAAAACCACATTTCTTAACCAAAACACACACTTACTAAAGTTTGCAAAGAGTTGTTTGTCGTTGAGGACTTGCAACAAAATCCTCAAATGATCGATATGCTCTTCTTCACTCCTTGAACACATCAACACATAATCAATTAACACGATTATGAACATATCCAGTTATTGTCTAAAAACCCTATTCATCAAATCCATAAATGCGAACGGAGCATTAGTAAACCCGGATGACATTACCCAAAACTCATATTGACCATATTGAGTCTGAAAAATGGTCTTCAGAATATCATATTCCTTCACCCTCAATTGGTGATAACTCGATCGGAGGTCGATCTTAGAAAAGTGAATTGCCCCTTGAAAGTGATCAAACTAGTCATCTATACTTGGAAGAGGATACTTATTTTTATGGTAACCGTGTTCAACTAGCGGTAGTCGATGCACATGCGAACTGAACCATATTTCTTTCAAACAAATAAAACGGGAGCACCCATGGAGAGATACTTGATCGGTTGAAACCCTTATCTAACAAATCTTTCAATTGCTTCTTTAATTCCTTAAGTTATGCCGAAGTCATTCAGTAAGAAGGAATACAGATTGGTTGCGTATCTAGTAGAAGGTCAATGCCGAAGTCTATTTCACTTTCTGGGGAACACCCGCTAGATTATCGAGAAACACTTTCGAAAACTCATTAACAACAGAGACCGACTCAGCAGTAGGGGTTTCAGAATCCATATCCCTAACACAAACAAAATGATATATGCAACCCATAGAAATCATTTTTCTAAATTTAAGACAAGAGACAAACTGACTCTTAGGTATACAATTTCCCTTTTTCCACTCTAGAATGGGCTAACTTGGAAACTGAAACTTGACTTCTCGGGTTCTACATTCAATAGAAGCATAACATGAATGCAACAAATCGATACCAAGGATAACATGGAAATCTAACATATCAAGCTCTACAAGATCAACATAAGTGACTCTATGTGATAAGGAGAAGGGACAATTTCTATAGACTATCTTAGCCACAACAGATTCACTAATAGGAGTAGAGACAGAAAAAAGGGTCTAATAACACATCTAGAAGAATATCAAACCTCATACCCACATATGAGATCACAAAAGGTAAGGTAACAACAGGTTCAAGCAAAGCATAAACGTCAAGATGAAAGAGTTTGAACAAATTGGTAACCACATCAAGAAAACCCTCTTGCTCATGATGACAAGTCTAGAGTTCATAAAATCCGTTGTGTTTCTCCCTCCCACTAGAACCCGAAGAAGGGTAAGGTCTAGCCCATTGAGGATTATCTCCTTCATTCTTAGCTACGGAAGGAAAATCTCTTAGCTTGTGGTCCAATTTGCCACACCCAAATCAAGCATTTGAACCCACTAGACACTTTCCCTCATGCTTCCTTCCACACTTTGTCACACCCCGAAGCTACCCCAGGGAAGAAACACAGGACCTAGGATCACGAGTGGCCCCAAGCTAACCCTGTTGGCATATCATAAGCATACT